GGAGGGAGGGATATTGCCTATTGGGATTGCACCCTTTCCCTTTCGAAACACCATCATAGTACACCTTAAGCCCCCGCGTGCTCCTCTGCTTCACGGCCCGATCGGGAATGTAAAACAGCTGAGGGAGGGGTGGGGGGTGGGGGAAGCCACGCGTGAGGAAGGTTATGGAGGGAGATGCGGGCTTCCCTCCCCCCCTTCCATGTTGGCGGGGCCAGCACGTTGTTTTTTTTGCGGTTATCTTTAATTCTATTTTCTCTCTCAATATCGTGGAGTCGTGTGTGGAATCGCCTTGTCGGAGGGTGAGCGGAGGTTTACGTTGGTAGAAAAGGGAGAAAAGATGTGCATTTAAATTGAGTTTCCAGTTAGTTCAGTTCTCCTTAAGTACATTAACGTCGTTTGGAACATGTAGGAACTCGGCTCATCTACGAGCCGACTTTCCTGGGTCGAATTGCGAGATGCTCGGCAAACGCGATGCTTTCAGTTCGCAACGACCGCCACTGTTGCATTTTACATATCGCTGGCGAGGAAAAGTAAAACACCAGCGAGAAGCAAAAAGACAGCAGGAAGCGAGCAATAGGATCAGAATTTCAAGAGGGGCCCAGCCCAGAGGACCGGCTTGCCCTGCAGCCGGCTCCAGCACCCAGCATCCCTCTCCGCATCCGCGACACCGTTTTTAATTGCAAATGATTCGGTCGGCGCATACGACCAGCAGCCGCGCCGCCGCGCCCCTTCTACGACTTTTAGAGCTTGAAATTTTTACGGAAACATTGGAAACTTTTCAGGAAGAAGTCGGAAACAAATGAAATATTTCCACAAAAAATAGAAAAATTAAAATTTTCATAGGAAAACCGCTTTAAATTTTTGACAAATTTCCCCAAAATACTGTTGCTCTGGAAAATTAAAATTCCTTGCGCTGCTTCCTCGGACGCCCAGCGCACTCACCGAGTCCATGACGACGCCTGGGTGTAAGCCGGCCCGGGGGCGAGCTCGGGGGCGCCGAGCCGTAGCGGCTCCAGGGGCAGTGAGGGGCGAGGAGAGGAGAGAGGAGACCTCGCCGACGAAAAGGGCCGCCGCCGCTCCGGAGGGCGGGGCAAGGCGGGGCTGGCGGGGCGAGCCGACAGAAAGGTTAGGACGCGTCCGGGTGAGGCTATACGCGGGCCGGCACTGCACTGCAGGACCAGACGAGGACCTCCCCACGACCCGGCCCTCCTCCTGCAGGTGCTAAACGACACGGCTAACTAACCAGCTCGGCTGCTGTCGTCAACCTGTCCTCTTGCGCCGGCGCCTATCTGATCGCACTCGCGGCCTCAAGTCTCTTATCAGTTTGTTGCTGCTCAAATATCCGTGGAGCGACTCGGCACGGCGCCGCCGCCACCGCCTTCGGGTGGGTTGCAACGAACCATTCCAGTAAATCTAAAATGTACGATAAAGAATGCGGGGAACAAGAAAACGGAAATCAGTAATGCAAAAACATGGTGACTTCCCTTTCCTTGTTCCCCGCACTCTTTTTCTTCTCATACGCCAGCTTTGCCGGAATTGTTTATGTGTCACGAGAAAACGCACGGAGAAGTAAGCCACCTGAAAGTGCGTCGTTTTCCTCAGATTCGTTCGGCTGAACACGGGACGGGGGCTCGGCGCCTGCGAGGCGTAGGGTAGGCCGCCCCGCAATACACGAATGCACTGCACGCGCACGCAAGATGCTGCCTATCTAACAGGGAGTTATGAGAGCTTACAGGAGTCGTTCACTTCGCAGCTTTTTTTACCGGTTCATTGTCTCGGATATGTTGGGTGTCAGTGCTTCTTGGCTATCTTGCCCCGCGGTTATCCAGATTGGCTACAGCATGGATCGTAGGGGTATAAGTCTCTTTTATCGTGAGAAAACAGGACTTCCCGACGACCACATAGATCCACTCTTGAGACAACAGCAGAATGAGTCTCACATAGGCCTTGGCGCTTGACGATAGATTATTAATGTCTTCAATTTGTCTCCTACTATACTCCAAAGCGACTCGGAAGCGGATGCGCCGGATACGCCAAGGATACTGGCTGGTATCACGCTGTTCTGAAAGCTAATCAGTTTTGTACGGGCTTGCCTCGCCATGGCACCTTGCAGGTCGCGCGAGTAGGCAACCCGCCCACACGTAGGAATGCGCTTCGGCATAACTACAGAGGTGCGCAGGAATCAGCCACCTGGGTTCAGTCTGCCTTTCACTCAGCTCCAATTCTTCATTTTCATTTACGAGGTGAATTGGTAGAGGTACTTTAGCTTAGAGGCATTGCACGTTTTAGAGACATACATTGTTTAGAGGAGCAGGTAACGCTGGTAACGGTGCCATCCTCGCCGTCGTTCTGCGAGCGCCGCCCTAGTTTTCATTCTCATTTCTGCTGCCGGCTACGAAAGTGGCGGCCGCAACGCCGGGACACGAAGGGGCAGAACTGCAGCATGCGGTGCGGCCGTCGTAAAAACTCCCCACGCCGCCCCGCCACTTCCTGACGCGTGCTACCCCCTCGCCCTTCCGGCCCAGGGACCGTCCGCAAAGGAGCAGGGCGACCGGCGGCGGGTGACCGCGCTACTCGCCCATGCGTACTTCCAAAGGTTTAGAAGTCGTCTCCAGAAACATTTTTTGTGTGTGTGTGTGTGTGTGTGTGTGTGTGTGTGTGCGGGGCGCTCACGCGACATCTGCTGGTCGAAACAGCCCGGTCCCAATCTAAGTAAAAGGGTTGCTTCTTCTCCCCGCCCCTGAGGACGCGCAGACTCCCACCCCTCGGACACGGGCTCCAGCGCGAGCTCCAGCGTGTCTCACGCGGGGCGCGCGACGGCCCGCCGCGGTCTCCACGACGGCGACCTCGCGGCCGCGGCCGGAGCCACTCGACGCCCTCGCTGGACGTCCCCGTCGTGCTTACCTTGTCCACCGGCTTGGCTGGGCAGGCGCGGCAGAGGTTCCAGAAGGTGCCGATCATGGTGACGGTGCGGTCCAGGACCGGTCCGGACGCTGCGGGGGCCCGGGTGCCCGTGCGGGGGCGCGGCCGGTGCCGGGCGGGGCGGGGCCGCTGGGCGCGGGCACGACGCGCTGGTGCGCTCCGGTTCGCTCGCCCCCGGTCCGGCTAGCGCGGCGGCGCGGGCGCGGCACGGGCTAGCGCGGGGTGGTAGGGCTCTGCTCGCCCAGGACGTCCTGAGCGCCACTGGCGAGGCGGAGCAGCGAGGGCGGCGAGGAGCCGCTGGCGTCCCACGGCGTCGCAGCTCCGAGTGAGAAGGGGAGGCATCCTGGCGCGGCGTGGCGCGGCGTGGCGCGGGCAGGGGAGGCGCGGCCGGGGGGGAGGTTCGCGAATCGATAGGGAGGCGCCGCGCGGGAGCCGCCGCCCTGCCGCCGCCAGCCCCGCCACCACCCCCCGGGCCCCAAGCGGGTAGGGGTGTCCTCGCATGCCATACCTCTGCTCCCGCCGCCACCAAACCTGTACCAGCGCCGGTATCGCTGCTGCAGCTACCCTGTCGTTAACGGCCGCCCACCAACCCCCGCGCAGGCAGGACGCTGCAGCTAGCCCCTCCTCTCCCTCCCCCCTTCCCCTTGAACACGGCCCTCTGCATTGTGACAGCTGCAGCAGTGGGTACGTTCGGAGAGCTCAGTCTTTATGGGTCTCTCCGGGCACCGTGTTGGCGTGTGTCCTGGATCCTAGGAGTAGGTACCCATCGCGCTCTGTACTCGTACTCAGTGTGTTCTGGATCGGGCGGGTTCAGGTCTCACGCCGAACCTTTCTGCGAGTGAGACTGCGTCTTCCGTCTCTCTCGCACTCTGCAGGCAGCTGAAGCTGAGCCACAGGATCGGGTCGGGTTTGTCTGTCGAGGCGATACCCGTTTTGGCCAGGTGTCAGGCCCTGTGTCAGCTGAGGGATGAGCGTAAAATGAAAAATATAGGCAGTTAAAAATAAAATTACTTTATTTGACCAGAACTCTGTATGGCGGAGTGAACTTATTTTAATTAATTATTGTTATATAATTAAACAATATACAAGACATGCTCAATCTTTAACAACACCTTGCTTCCACTAGGAAAGCACAACATGTTTTAATTTTCAGAAATAGGGACAATGAAACAGATACCTAAAGAAGTCTAGACTCAGTGTTTCTTCTTTTGTTCTGGACTAGGAAGTAGGCCTGCTTTTTCAATAACCTGCCTTGCGGCATTATTTATAAGACGGAACCGATCAGGACCCAGATGAACTCCACCATACCACCGACTTACAACAACTAAGATGTTACGCACATCCATTATCTATATTAAAATAAAGTTAAGTATTATATAGACAATAAATGAAGTCTCATTTTACAAGATCTTGACTGACCTGCAAAAGGTGCAACATTCTGCTTCCTGCTTGGGTCTCACCATCATCTTCACAGTCTTGACTAAAAGATTTAGTTTCTTCCCGATAAATTCGGTAGGCATACATATTATGAGTTGCATGAGCTATTTTTTTGTTTTCCATAAGAGTAGATATAACCTGCCTGAATAAAGGAGTAAAAAAAATAAAAAATACTTGACATTACAATATTTTTAAATGCATCTTCCCTGACAAATCCCAAATAACATACTTAACATCACTTGTTGATGATATTGTCGCTACATGTCCTTGAAATGTACTTTTTTTGAAACTTATAGGATCCCCATGAACAATTGTTGGCCCATCTTTGCTGACTTTCGATGACTGATTCATCCTGTCATCGTTCCAACATGTATAACTTTCTGCATAAACTTCCTCGTCTTCTTCGTCCTCTGCTTTAGCAGCAACTCCACATGCCTGCAAGGAAACCTTTTCTTGCAGCCACTCTCTAGCTTTTTCAACCCATTGGAATATTATGGTTTCTCCGATATTGTCTCTAAAAATTAATGATAAATGTGAGAGCAACAAGTAATAAATAGTATTTCACAGGTAAATTGATTGAAATGGCTGATAAAGAGTATCGTACAAATACATATCTTGAAGAATTGTGGTAATTTCTACCATTTCGTCTCTTGAAAGTGATGGAGCCAATATCTGAAATAGTGGAGGGCCTTGGCCTGGGTATATGTCAGTTAGAGTTACGAACAATTCGAGTGATAAATTTCCTTCAGAAAGGGTGATGTTTCCTGAACCACCGCCGTCATCCTCTTTCCACTCTTCTCCGTAAATTGACTTCAGTACCTCCTGCTCTTCAATCTAAACAAAAAATGATTTTTGACACTTAAGTTTAAGAGACTGATTATACCATAATGAAGTTGAGGGGAATAGCTACATAGGTTATTGTCACTTGGAAACACGAAGTTTTCTTTTGCGCACACAATATGACAATTGATGTAATGGTATCTTTAAGCTAAAGTAAAATGCGGGCGCAATTACCTGTCGGCTTATGTTGCCATCAAGCGTGTTATTCTCCATCACGAAAGTGTTAACTCTGAAAAACCACTACCATATCGACGTAGTCCACAGAGATAACAACAACAATGTCTGCGAATAGAACGAACCGCGTTCCTGCCCCAAGCGACAACTGCGAATAGCTTTTGAAGTGCTTGGGTGCAGGTAAAAAGAACAAAGGAGTCGACAAAAACATCACTGTAGCCAGTACACCCACGTCAAATCCCAAGGTGTTTGACACAGCAATGAAAGCAGTATATTATACATTCATGCTGAAGTGATCGCATTTTATTTGACTTTTTACGTAACTTCAATTCATGTTCGCCTTTACATGTCTTCTTTGTCGAAAAAAGAACATAGTTCCAGTCAAAGTAAACATCAGTGTGGTGGCAGGGTTTCTGGTTTGAAACTCACAACGGTTTTAGAAGCGAAGTGGCAGCAGCTAGAGTGAACAGTGAATTTGACGATTTGATTTGATTTTAATGTGCGCTGTCGCCGGTAAGAGCCATGGCCGAGTTCGACGACACGACTATGCTCTTTTTGGACGAAACGTAAGTAAATAATGCTGCAGCAATTTCAGTTGTCACTGTCGAAAGTGCCTTGATGACATGGAGGCTGAAGACATGTTTTTGGCAGTTTGGCGTTTGTTTATATAGGCTTTTGCTGACTGCAGCTGGTTGCACTTGCTTACTACAAGCTGATTTTGTTTAATTTTGTTTTGGGCCTCGTTTGTAGCAATAAAAAATTCCATGATAACTTAAAATTTTGAATGTTTTTGAGATGTTTTTAATGTCCTGAGTGCTGTCAAAAATTTGAGGACACTACCCAAATTGAGCTCAAATTTTTCAGCCTCAAGCATTTTCTGTGGAAAGATGATGTATTGTTTTCTGAGATTCATTTGCATGTCAGTGTCAGTAATATCAAATTCAGAATAGTCTGTGTATTATCTATGTACTGTACACTTGTCTCGGATTGATATTGGCACATGATAAATTGCGTAAAATGTGACATGTGTCCTTTGTCAAAGAAAGTGTTCTCTGCATCTCTGCATTATTGATTGCGCATTTGCCCTTGGCCTTTGCACGGTTCATGGTAATGTGAAGCCCTATGCATGCGACCAGTGGTTCTTCGTCCCTCTCATCAGCCGCCTGCCCTGCGGCTTGCCATGGCTCCTCCCTGTCCGCTTGTCCTTCCTGCCTGTTTATAATTGTACCCTCCATGTCTCAACAGCAATCAATTTTTATGCAGCGCAATGATGAATTTAATGCCTTCAGTCAGTACCTTGACACTTTACGCTACCACTACGTACCTGGCCCTAGTCACTGAAGGAGAGGTGCAACAACACCAAGTACAGTTTGCTCATTAAATAACAAAGGGGTGGGCTGGGGACGGGTGCCCCGGCCACGGGGTGCAGGCATCTGAATGCCGTACGCCGTTGACATTCAACCATGAGGCAGTAGTGCAGTCAGGTTGGGGTGGCTGACTCACTCTGACACCCCCCGCCCCCCTGTCCTGTTCGGCGCCGTGGCGGGGCGGCTCAAGCTGAGCCGCGGCGAGGAGGCGAGGCGGACTAAATTTTCAGCGAGATTTATCGGCTGCACCTTTCGCCACCCGCGAGGCCCACTTCCACTGCCCTTTTGCTCAACTTTCCCCGCGCCATGACAAGCGGGGGGTCTTCGTCTCGTCTCCCAGCCCCCCGCCTCGGCCCACCACCGCTGCGCCCTTTGCCTCCCCGCCACCCCCTCTGTACTCTCATGACTACTATTCCCAGCCCAGCCCAAGGGGTGGGCCTCGGGGAGGACGTGTGGGGCGGCAGGGGCCTCAGTGCGCAGCCGCCGCCCCCGCCCCTCCCCTCCCGCGCCCCGCTTCCGCCCTTCCGACCGGCGCGGGAGGGGAGGGGGCCGCTGGCAGGCCGCCACAGCTGGCCGCGACGGCCGCGCCGCCCGTACCGCAGCCTCACTGCGCGTCGTCTCCGAGTTGGAGCTCAAGGTCCTCCCAGTTCAGTTCAGTTGCCCGCCCGCCGCGCCGAGGGGAAGACGTCGTCGCTCACCCCGTCCTCGCGTCCGCGTGTGTGTTTGTGTGTGCGGCAGCGCGTCAGCGGCGAGCAGGCCGGGAAGGTCATATCCATTGCCCAGCTGGGCCCCTGAGCACGCGTCGCTCGCGGCCAGGACGGCGACGCCAGCAGCGGTCGACGACGTCGACCTGGAGATGCTGGCCAGGACGCCGTCGACCAGTGATGCGGGGGTGGAGTGCCGGCTCGGAAAGTGATACCAGTGATACAGTGCAGCAGTGAGTGGCACGAGAGCGCCGCAGGGTTCGATATTTGGATTGGATTTACGCCGCCGACATGTCGGTGTTTCGTCTGAGCACGGGCGGGGGCAGCACCTCCCCCTCCCTCGACTCGCCGGAGCAGACTCCCTTCTGGTGAGTTTTGTGGTGTGTCCATGTGCGTGGGGGTGGGGGGTGGGGTGGGGCGGTGGGCCGAGACATGTGCCGAGCACATGCGGTGGACCGAATAGGAAGCCTACACCTACAACCCTTTCTCGGAATGTAGTTTTCTGAGTCCTGACTCAGCGTTTAGCCTGGTGTAGGTGGTATCTCCATAAATTCGTAAAAAATAAATATAAATGGCGTTTTAGTTGCCAAAGCCAAGGTTTATATTTCTGGTTTTTGTGATGCAGGAAGCTGCACTTATGGGGTCCACGTGGCCGGGTGCTTACTTAGCACATGC